AGTGTGCACAGAACAGCTCTGCATTTCAGACATGTTCAAAAGTTTTTTTTTTAATTATTTTGCACTTCTACAGATATCTCAAAACGTTCTCAATCAATGGTAGGACAAGCAAATGTGGATCTGCTTCTCTTTTCTTTAGCAAGAATCAGAAATTAAGCAGATTCTGGGGTACAGCTATCTGAGACCCCTGTGTGGGTTGAGGATCCTTATGATGTGAAGGGGGGGCATACTGTATCCACCTCAATACCACCATAAGTATACTGTACATACGGCCTCATATTTAGATGGTTATACCAGGATCATGGTTGAGGCTAAAACCATGAACCCAGTACTGTTTTCTTCAGGAGGTGTTTCTCTTTAATGTAAAGGTGATTCGGCGGCTGTATAGCCGCTGGATCGCTTTTACAGGTGACGGAAGGGGGTCACCCCTCCTGCTGCTGCATTTACCAGGCTCTCCTGTGTGATCAGGGAGCCCGGTAATAATGTGACTGGTTTGGCCGCATTCACTGAGAAGAGGGGCAGGAACAGAAGGTCCTGCTCGTCTTCTGTGACATCAAAAACAATAGCGATGAAGATTTTATCATTTCCGGTTTTGGTTTGACGAAGTCAAGGTCTGGTAGACCAAGAAATATTGCAGCTACGACTGCCAGAAGAATTGTTCAGGATACAAAGAAAAACCCACAGATAACCTTGGGAGAAATACAGGCTGCACTGGAAAAAGATGGTGTGATTGTTTAAAGGAACACAATATGATGATACTTGAACAAAAATATGTGCATGGTTGAGTTGCCAGAATGAAGCCTTTACTGCTCCAGTGCCACAAAAATTACAATATGCCCACTAACACCTTCACACACCTCACATCTTCTGGCACACTAATCTGGAGTGATGAGACCAACATTGAGCTTTATGGTTACAACTAGAAGCACTATGCCTGGAGAGGGGTCAACAAGGCTTATAGTGACAAGAATACCATCCCCACTATGAAGCACGGTGGTGGCTCACTGATGTGTGGGGTGTCTGTGAGCTCTAAAGGCATGGGGAATTTTTGTGAAAATTGATGGCAGGATGAATCCAGCATGTTATCAGAAACTGCTGGCAGAGAATTTGTGTTGTACTGTACATGGGACGCTCTTAGACTTTCCAGCATGACGATGCCTCAAAGTAGAAGGCCAAGTTGACCCTCCAGTGGTTACAGCAGAAAATGGTAAAGGTTCTGGAGTGGCCACTCTGGGGAGATCTCGAACATGCGGTTCATGCAAGACAACCAAAGACTTTGCATGACCTGGAGAAATTTTGCCAAGACAATGGGCAGCTATACCACCTGCAAGAATTCAGGGTCTCATATTACAAAAGACTGCAGGCTGTTATTGATGCTAAAGGGGGCAATACACAATATCAAGAACTAAGGGTGTGCAGACTTTTGAACAGAGGTCATTTCATTTCTTGCCATGTTTTGTCTTAGGATTGTGCCATTCTGTTATGATCTACAGTTGAATATGAATCCCATGTGAAGTAAAACAAAATTTGTTTTGCCTACTTACTCAAGTTTTCTTTATAAATGGTACATACTGTACCAATTCTTCAATGGCATGCAAACTTTTGAGCACAACTGGTTATATTCTGGAAGTGTGTGGTCCAGACGTCACATCTGGTGTGCAGTGTAGAGCAGCAGGAAGGTGAGAGGGGTGCGGGCTGGAGCAGAGCAACTAGCAGATAGCACATAGGGTGTGCAAGATTGGAATGCTGTAGTGGAAGGTGTGCAGTGACCGAAGAGAGAGGACTGAGAGGCAGAGGATCAGCAAAGCTGGGTGACCAGAGCAGGAGAATTTAGCAATGTCGCACGTGGTGCGCAGTGTGAGAGCAATACAGTGGGAGCCGAGCGGGGACCAGAGAGAGAAGAGGTCAGAAAACCAGAGGATCTGCTGAATGAGGGTACTATTAGGGTGGGGATCTGTTGAAAGAGGGTACCAATGAGCTGGGAATCTGCTTAACAGGGGTACTAATGAGCTGGGGATCTGTTGAACAGGTGTAATAATGAACTGGGGATCTGCTGAATGGGGATACTAATGAGCTTGGGATCTGCTGAACAGGGATACTAATGAGCTGGGGATCTGCTGAACAGGGGTACTAATGAGCTGGGGATCTGCTGAACAGGGGTACTAATGAGCTGGGGTACTACTGAGCCAGGGTTCTACTGGACCCCTTTAAAACAAATTGAAAATCAACACACAAGGCATTTGCCAAGCTTCATTAAAGTTTCAAAAAGCACCACTGAAGCAACACAGAAGCATAAAATACACATCAAAAAAGCATGTTGAATCAGTAGGTGCTTTAACCACTTCAATACCGGGCACTTTTACCCCCTTCCTGCCCAGGCCAATTTTCAGGTTTCAGCGCTCTCACACTTTGACAATTGCGCAGTCATGCAACACTGTACACAAACTAACATTTTATAATTTTCTTCACACAACTAGAGCTTTCTTTTGGTGGTATTTAATCACCACTGGGGTGTTTATTTATTTTTTGCTAAATTAACAAAAAAAGACCAAAAACTTTAAAAAAAAACACGTTTTTCTTTGTTTCTGTTATAAACGTTTGCCAATAAATAATTGTTCTTCATAAATTTAGGCCAAGATGTATTCTTCTACATTTCTTTGGTGAAAAATAACTCAAATCAGTATTTATTATTCAGTCTGTTGGAAAGTTATAGCGTTCACAATCTATGGTATATATCTGAAAATTGATCAGTCCTGAAGTACTGACGGCCAATCTAATATCTTGAGGTCCAAGAATGTCAGAACAGTACAGATATCCCCCAAATGACCCCTTTTTACAAAGTAGACAGTGTGATGTACTTCATAAGAGGCATGGCGAGTTTTTTGAAGTTGTATTTTTTTCGTCATAATTATTTGGAAAATGAAGAATTTAAAACAATTATTTTCACAATTTGTTTTCACATACTGTCACCAGTGCAGTACAGCGTCATCATATAACTGGCATGGCCGTGATCAGGGACTGACTGGTGACAGTGTGAAAAAAAAAACTTTTGAATTTTTTTTAATTTTTTATTACATTTTTTCTTTTTTTAAGATTTTTTTTTCATATTTCACTATTACCAAAGTAGTATAATATTACCATAGTAACATTGTACTACTTTGGGGAAGTGATCAGTATTTTTTTTTTTTTTTACACAATTTGCTTATAGCAAAGAATTACTTTGCTATAAGCAAGCATTTACTTGAATGAAATCGATTAATTCAGGCTTTTTGTTTTTTGTGCTTAGCTTTGATTTGGCCACGGCTAATCACATGACACAGATGGGCTGAGATTGGCCCAGCTCGTGCATGGGATCGCTGTGACCATTCACAGCTAAACACACTTGTTTTTTTTAAGCTCCTAGAAGCTGTTAGCATTTTTTTTTTTCTGCTCCCAGAAGCTAAATATTGTCATCCTATGTGTCCATGTACACTACTTTAGGCTGTTATCGTTTTTTGAGCTTCAGTATCTAGGAGCACAAAAAAAGTAGTTTTGTAGTTTTTTTTTTAGCCTCCATGCACAATAGTTTTTTTTTAAGCTCACAAAATGCTGGAAAAAAACACTGAATAAAAAATGCTGGTAATAACGTTTTTTAGTAGTGTTTAGGAGCGTTAGCATTTTATTAGTGTTTTTTACAGTACATGTAGACCCCCCCCCACAAAAAAAAAGCTAGAAAAAAAGCTGTTAGTAGCATTTTAATAGAGTTTAGGATCTTTTAGCATTTTTTCTGCTGGAAAAAAGCTCCAAAAAACTCTACAAAAACAATGTTTTTTCTGCTCCTAGAAGACGATACCACAAACGCTCCTAACAGCTTTTTTTTTCTTCATGCGCTTTAAATGCTACTAAAATGCTAACGGTATTATCAGCGTTTTTTTTGAGCTTAAAGGATAAGTTCACCTTTGGGAACATGTTACATGTTCATCCAATTTTTAGGGTGGAACATGTAACATGTTCCCATAGCCGCAGCCATGCCCTCCGCCCCTCTGACAGATAGTACGGGGAGAAGTCTCCCCATACTATCTCAGATTCGAAAAAAGCATGGCCGTATGAGACTCCGCCCACAGGGCCACGTCATTCATTCACAGACTTCCCGGCAGCCTTAGTGGCTGTGGGCTTGTAGTTTCCAATGAAGTACCATGGGGCTGTGGAGTGTCATGGTAGTTCATTGAAGCTTCCTGTCAGAATATCTGCTTGTCGTACATCCTGCTCAGCAAGCAGATATTCTGACAGGTCTGCAGGAGACCTGCATGGCACCAGCAATCTACTGATCACTGGAGCAGTGCATCCCAGGTTCCTGTAGACAAAACCTGCAAAAAAGGTGCATTTATTATTTTTTTCTAAAAAAAAGAAATTATCCTTTAACCACTTCCAGTCCGGACACTTTTACCCCCTTCCTGTCCAGGCCAATTTTCAGCTTTAAGCACTATCACACTTTGAATGACAATTGCGCGGTCATGCAACACTGTACCCATATGAATTTTTTAGCATTTTTTTGAGACAGATAAAGCTTTATTTTGGTGGTATTTATTCACTGCTGGGATTTTTATTTTTTTTGTTATATAAATGAAAATGTCCAAAAATTTTGAAAAAAGTGTTTTTCTTATAAAATTTTGCAAATAAATAATGTTTCATCATAAATCTTGGCCAAAATGTATTCCGTTTTCTTTTTAGTAAAAATAAAAAAATAACCCAAATTAGTTTATAATAACCAAAAATTATAATTTTTTAAACATTTGTTTACATTTTTATTTTATTTTTTTTCTATTATTATTTATGGGTTTTTTTTTTATTACATACTGTCACCCTAGCAGTACAGTGTCACCTTGGTGACACTGTACTACTTGTGGGGGGTGATGAAATTTTTTTTTTTACACTGATTGCTTTTACACCCATAAAGGCTGTAAAAGCAATCATTTCTCCTTCTCTCTGGCTGCATTCTTGCAGCCGTTGAGAAATACTGCGTGAGCTGTGATTGGTCACAGCTTGTCACATGGTACAAGACTGTTGTGAATAGCCTTGTACCATGTGACCTCTCTGATCATTCACAGATTTCACACGTAGTAAACAATGATGTCAGAAGTGACATCTTGCTTACTACTACTCCCGATCACAGAGGTCCTGTACGACGATCGGTGTTCGGACACAGCGGGCACCGGATCGCGGTGCTGCGTGCTCCCAGGGAGCGTGCACAAGCAGGGGGCAGGGAGGCAATTTATAAACGGCCACCCGACCCTGCACTGCCACCGCCCGGCCCGTTTATATACAACAACAGGACCAGAAGTGGTTAAGAAAAAGCGCTAGTGTGCATGGAACATATTAGCTTCTAGAAGCTTAAAAACACGCTAGTGCGCATGAAGCCTAGGATTGCCACCTCATCCCTTTAAAACTGAACACATTTTTTTTTAATGGTTGAACTGGATGGACTTTAGTCTTTTTTCAGCCAGACCAACTATGTAACTATATTATTTAAACAGGTCCACTTAGGCTTGGTTCACAATGGATGCGATTTAAAATTGAGCGTTTTGTTTGTCACATTTTCTGAAGATTTCCCAATGATTTCTTGCGTTTTCCGTTACGTTTTGCAGTGCAGTTTCTTTTGTAGTCTATGTGAAATCGCAGCAAACTGCAGAAAAAGTAATACAATAACTACTTTTAAAATTGTGCTGCATCAAATCGCATATGTTAAGACACTCACATTCATTAGATCCGATTTCAGGTACGATTTCAATTCCCAAATTGCACCTGAAATCACAGCAGTGTGAACCAGCTTTTACTGCACTTTCTGAGTGTTTTCAAAGGCCACATGACTTAAAAACTGCTCCAAAAACGCTTCCCAGAGGCATTTTTGAAGCGTTTTCCTTTGATTTCAATGGAAAGAAGCATTTTTGGGGCATTTAGCTCCCCAAATATGCCCCAAAGATGCTGCAACCAGGAGTTTTTACACCACCCTGCAAGCTCAACACTTGAGTGTGAAAACATACATAGATATACATTCACATACATAGGGAGATGTTTTTCTTGAGCTTTTCAGGCATTTTTTTAATGCAAAAACACTTCAAAAACTCCTCAGTGTGAAAGCAGCCTAACATTGGAGCCTAAGGCTGGCCATACACTATACAAATTTCTGTCCAATTTCCTTTAGATTTACCTTCAACTATGTAGTGCAAGGGCCTGCCCAATTGGATACTGCTGAAAGTGTTGTTTAGGTTTGACCTCATATTATGTGGTTTTTGGTAAATGTAAAGAAAAAATTCTCAAGAAAATTGTACAATGTATGGCCAGCCTTAGGCTACGTTCACACTAGCTTTGTCAGCAGGCATCAGACAGGCGTTTGGGAAGCGTTTTTAACGCTTCTCAAATGCCTATGAAAATTCTGCACATGGCAGCACACAGTGCTGTTCACACTGAAGTGTCGCGGCAAAACTGACACCTCATGTCCAGTCAGGAGTTCAAGTATATGGTGCCGCTCCTCAAATGCCTGACAGGCATTTGTGATGCGGTTGTGAGGCGTTTGGAGAGCCTTAATACCATTTAACTTCATTATAGGCGTTTGTGGTGCGGTTTTTAACGCTTGGCAACACCTATCATCTGCCTCAAAACCGCGCATAGGGCATTTTGGGAGCATTTGAGGAGCGTTGAAAACGCTTCCCAAACGTCTGTCAAACACTATAGGGGCGTTTGGCAATTGTTAGAAATAAAGTCAAGTGTGAACGCATCCTTTGGTGTACCAGAGAAATGTCAGAATTCGCCTGAGGGGCAAATGGTTATAAAGGAGGCAGGATGTCATATCTCGGTCTATGAGGCAACACAATTATTTTCAGAGCGGAATTCCAATAGTGACAGTACATGGAATCTCTGCGGCCTCCATTTCCATGGAAAACAGTTTTTCCTGGGTTCTAGACGTGAAGTCACCAAGATGGAGGCGGGGACGGAAATGGGGTGACCGGTTTGCCTCTTGTAACCAGACCAGAGAGCTGTGCGTGAAACACACCTCCTGTTCTGATTGGCTGGGCGCAGATCAGGTTCCCAGGGGTCAAGACGCCGGCTAGGTGTGAGTTCAACTTGTGACCGTGGGCCGGGGCGGCGGAGGAAGGTAATGTGTGTAGTGGGAGCAGAGGCCGGGTCTCCTGTTCTGTATATAGGGAGGACAGTACAGGCGTTCCTGCATGTCAGAGGAGGAGAGCCGTGCTCCTGTCATATGTACTACATCATGGGCGGAGGACTTCCTGGCATTACTTGGAGCTGCAGAGAACATGAAACTGAAAGACTGATGCAGTGCAGTGAGGGCTGAGGTGTGGATGAACGCCTGCTATCTGACTAGGGGGTTCCAATGGGGTCCTGCATATCTGCCTTCCATCACAAGGCCACCAATCAGGAGGGGTATTCCTTCTTATTTTGGTTAGGAGGTGGAGCCGTGCGATTTATTCCATCAGGTTTTTGACCATTTGTACCTCCAGGACCGGTGATTTCTAGTACAGATATTTCCTAAGGCTGCTTTCACACTGATCCACTTCTGCATTAAAAAAAGCAAAGAAAACCGTGTATTCCTATGGAACTCTTCGCACTAATCCATTGCGGGTCCAGTGCGTTTTTAAATATCCTGCTTGCTGCATTTTTGGTGCGGTAAAAAAAAGCAACTCCCTGAAATAAATGGAAAATGCTGCTAAAACACCTGTGTTGCATCTTTTGTGCGTTTTTTTTTTTTTTTTTGTCACTTCAAGCATGGTAAAAATACATATGCATTCTTGGGCTTGGATCAATGTAAAAGTAGCCTAAACACTCCGGTCACATCAAGTCTGGCTTACAGTGAAGTCGCGCCATTTCAAAGTTGGGGGGCATGCCGATTTCAGGTGCAATTTGCAAGACATCTGACACAGATATCTATGCAAATCGCACCAAAAGTAGTGCATGTACTACTTTAGAGATCTGCGTGGCTCCGACCAAGTCAGAACCGCACTGATATGACCGCTGTAATTGAGGTCACTAGGGTGCAATTTGGCATGCGATTTGCAATTCGCATGACATGCAAATCACATGCCAAATTGCAACCAGGGTCTAAGGCTAGGTCACACTTGTACATGTGCACCTTGCAGGTAAAACGAACCAATCATATAAAAGGAATGCTGTTCCCATGAAAAACGTGAGGGAAGAAGTCCCTGTCCCTTTTTTAACCACTTGCCCTCCAGAGGATTTCCCCCCCCCCCCCCCCCCCCTTCCTGACCAGGCTATTTTTTTTTTTGGCAATACGCTCTGCGTTACTTTAACTGACAATTGCACGGTCATGCAACGCTGCACTCAAATGAAATTTACATCTTCCTCCCCCCACAAATAGAGCTTTCTTTTGGTGGTATTTGATCGCCTGTGCAATTTTTTTTTTGTGCTATAAACAAAAAAAGGCCGACAATTTTGGGAAAACAGTTTTTTTTTACTTTTTGCTATTAAAAATGTCCAGTAAAAAAATTAAAAAATCAAATTTCATCATAAATTTAGGCCAAAATGTATTTTGCTACATGTCTTTGCTAAAAAAAAATCCCAATACGTTTTAAATTAATTTTTTACGTGAAAGTTATAGCATTTACAAATGGTCGTGTATATATACTGGAATTTTTTTTTTTTTTTTTTTTCCCTAGTAATGGCGGCGATCTGCGACTTATATTGGGACTGCGGTGGGCATTCTTCCACTGGGGGGAACTGACTTGGTGTCACTGACATCCCCAGTGACCCCAATACAGTGGTCAGTGCTAATAAAAAGCACTGACATTGTACTAATGGCACTGGGCAGAAAGGGGTTAACATGAGGGGCGATCAAAGGGTTAACCGTGTGCTTTATACCGTAAGCACACTGCTTTATATGGCTCTGCTATGTAGAGAGGAGTGTGAAGTAGCTGTCAGTGTACTGGGCCAATCATAAGTGGCTGAGGCATTCCCTGCCCCACAGCTGCATGTATATACACTCCTTGTACATGTGGCTTAGCTGGGTTTGGACCATCCTTACTCTAAGAAGAGCTTTACTCTAAAAAAATAAAGAGTTCCTTCTTTTTAGGGTATAGATTCATGATGGAAGGGAGGCATATGGATACCCAATGGGAACTTTATTAAAACTGGAGCAGCTGTGCATGGCTGGCTACCAATAAATAAGGTTGTAAAGCTCAGACATGAAATATGAACAAAGCATATCCCTCTATAGTCTGTGCTTGTCTCAATTAAGAGCACTAAGTGTCATTTCTGTCTGCTGCTTTGTTCCTCTGCTTTCAGCACGAATCACTTTTGACAAGTTTTCCTGACACCAAGAGAAAAATGGTGACGGGGAGGGAGCTCCAGCATAAGCCTGTGTTTGCTGTATGAAGGGTGTGTGTTTCTTCCCTCCAATCAGCTCTCAGAGCTCTCCTCACTGTGCTCTGAAATGTGTAATTTCAGCTCTCCACCCCCTTTTTCTGAACTTTTCAGACAAGCTTTATAAATTCAGCACTTTGGTTGTAGAGGTGAGAATACTGCAGGTAAACAGGTACAACTTATGTAGGAGGATTTGTTTCATCTCTGTGTGTCACCTGAGGCCAGTCATTTCACTGGGTGTATGTAAGGGTTTACCACCACATTAAGGGCTTGTTCACACCATGGGGCAGAGATGTCAGTTTTTCTGGACGGGCACAGAAAAACAATTGTTCTCTATATGCCCTGTTCACACCTCAGCAATAGCACAATTTTCATATTTTTTTTCTGTGCAGAAATCTGCAACTTGTATAAAGCTTACTGAAAGACCCATGAAAACTGATGTGTCTGCAAGTGAAATCTGCACATCAGTTTCCATCAGTTTTTCTACACATATGGTGTGAATGAGGCCTAAAGTAGAAGTCCCAGATAGAAGTAATTAAGCGTAACTCCTTCACACTGACCATACACAAATATGGAGCCCCGCTGGACTGGGCTGTTTTTTCGTGGGGCCACATACTTGCATACCTGTCTTTGTGCTGGTAGCACGCCGCACCGTGTGCTCCCAGCACAGAGACCAGGGTCTCACTTAAAGCCCTGGGTCCCATTCTAACTATCAGGACTCGGATTTCCCGAATCTGGGTCACCTGATTGCTGTGTTATCCTCTGATTGGCTGTCGCAGTGATCAGTCACTTTGAAGCCTTCCCCGTGTTTTCTGTCTCTGAACATAGGAGAGAGATACATTGTATGTCTCTGTCCTTTTCAGAGAGGAAAAAAAAGTGTGTGTAAAAAAAAAAAAAAAAAAAAAAAAAAAAAAACAAATAAAAAAAAAATATCTAAATCAAGGTTTGATCTAGGTTAGTGTTTGGGTCAGGGTCAGTATTTTTTTTTTTTTTTGTTCAGGATCTTTTCTTTACATTTTTAAATTAGCATCTGTGTCAGTTAGTGGCAGGATAACAAAAACAAAGTGCACATCATTGTTTCTGGGCCAAACAACAACTAAGGCTACTTTCACACTGATGAATTTTTTAAGCATTTTTGCATTAAAAAAAGTGCTTGAAAAGCTCAAGAAAAATGCTTCTCTGTGTTGTCTGTGTATGTTTTCACACTGGGGTGTTGCACTTCCATTGCTGTGTAAAAAACACCTGCTTGCAGCATCTTTGGAGTATGTTTGTTTATTTAAAAAAAAAAAAAAATGCCCCAAAAACACCTCTTCCCATTGAAATCAATGGAAAAGCGCCTCAAATACACCTCTGAGAAGCATTTTTGGTGCAGTTTTTAAACACTCAGAAAGCATGGCAAAAGCACAGTAAAAACTCCTATGCGTTTTTGTGGCAGACCAGTAGCCTAACTCACGTGGTATCGCTGCGATCGTCAGCAGCAGGAGAAATTCCTTTTGGTTATTCTTTGGTGGTAGGTTATGGGTAGTAGCAAGAAATATACAGCTACATTTTGGGCCAGTTTTCCTTTGAAAATAAAAAAAATCCATTTACCACAAAATTAAAAGCCCAATTTGTCCTGAAAAATAACGAGGTATAATCCATCTGGATGTACAAAGTAGTTGTGATGATATGTACAGTTTTGCTAACACATGTCAAAGTTGCAAAATTGTGCTTAGGCGTTAGGATTTGTTTACGCTTAGGCGTGAAGGGGTTAAAATGCTCCCACCCACCTCCTAACTCCTACACTAACTACCCTGTAGAAGGAAGGATATAAGGCTATACTTACCTATTCTTAGGGTGCTCTGGT